GTTGGCTTCTTCCCCCGGGACACCCGGAATATGTCCGGATGTGGCCAAAGTGGTTCTTGGAACTAAATTTGAGTTCCATTGAACCATTCATTGAATTCTCATGTAATTCGATGTGCCGCATGATGGGTTTGACTCTAATTAGATGTTGGCTTCTTCCCCCGGGACACCCGGAATATGTCCGGATGTGGCCAAAGTGGTTCTTCGAACTAAATTTGAGTTCTATGTAATGTAATTCGATGTGTCGCATCATGGGGTTAAACCTAATAAAAACTAATCAGTTACTGGATGCTTCCCCCAGGGCACCCGGGATTGGCCTGAACCTGAATGATGAGGCATCTCTGGGAATATCGTCTGATTTTTGTTAGATTGTAAATTTGTTTGTTATTATTGTTAGTTTAAGATATGTATATGCAAACAAATCAAATATTTTAGTTATAAGAATTATTTTTGTATGTATGTTTAAAGGAATTTTAAATAAAGTCATATGAAGGGTTCAACATTATTTACTTTGTATTATTAAAATCGCAAAAAGAAAGAAAATGGTGGTGCACAAACTACAGCTGCCGGGTAGCGCGCCGGGGCAGCTGGGGGCGAACAAAGGGCGACCAAAGCGGCTAAAACGATCAGTTTTTTTACAGGTATCGTTTTCGCCTCAGGCGCCCAAATTTGGACCAAGTGGCGCCGCGAGGTTCGAGTCGCCCAACTCCGCCCCGTCCGCCGAGCGGTCCGGGGGCGAGCCGTGAGCGACTAGCCCGCTGTATGTGGGATTTTGCTCAACATCAACAATGACATTAATCCTGAAGTTCAGGTTAGGAAAAAAGTTAGGTTAAAACAAAACGTCAGCTATTGTTGGTAAACAAACCGACAGATTGTTGACAGCCCTAATAAAAATTGTATGGTTAATTTGCTTAACGACGTGTTCTGGGTATCATCCAAACCGTTTGTGGAATAGTTCAATGATTTGGGTTATCGTTCGTTTATGGTTATTTTTTATTAGGGAGCATTCTCCCATGCACTCAAAAATATAACTACCCACAAATCTAAAAAACCTACTACTGCGTGCACTTCCATTCTATTACCGAGAACCATGATTTTTGGATAAATTCCTTCCACGCTATTGGGGTCCATGATTTTAATGCTCTGGGACAAAAGCAATGCGATGCCACAGTTTCGTGGGGCTTTCTATGATTCAGGACATAAACCAGTTAGTTCAAACGAGCGTGGACTGCCAACTCGCAGGTAAATCGTTTTGGTGTCTTCTGCAGACTTATGAACCAAGGAATTCTTCAATAAACGACATGTAAATATTTACATGATTGACAAATCTCAGGTAATCATGACATTTTGATCTTAGAAAACAACGCGCATGAGAAAAAGAGACCTACTGCGTCAGAATCTGTCATGATTACCTGAGTTTTGTTAAAAAAACGTAAATATTTGTGTGCGGCAAAGAATAAGAGCGCTGAAGACACCGACATGGTTTAATGTAAGAGCGCACTTTTATAAGCTTTTCCGCACAATCGTATAAATGCACAATCTTCTTCTTCTTTCCTTTATTTAACGTCGTTCTCTGTTACGCAATCTAGTGCCAATCACCGACGGACATCGATTGCCATCCATTGACAGCAATCGAATGTGCAGGAAGGCAGCTTCCACACCTGCGTAGGATATCGCACCCTGAGAGAGAGAGTTGCGAAGAGAGAAAAATGGAACTTCAAATGCAGCCAGACGGCTGCTGTCACGAACTGTCATTGGCAGCCAAGCAATTTTATGATGCTTTTCTTACAGTTGAACAAGAATACAGAAGGCGGTATTGAAATATTGCGTAAAGTAGTTTATGAAAAACCGTCATTTCCAGCTATTTTATTCAATGGGACACCGTTTATTTTTAATTCAATAAAAATACACACAAATCAATATTGAAAGATACCATTAACGAAGGTTTTGTCAAAACATCTAGTGACATAATACAATACAAAACAGAAAAGTACAGTTTCTCACTGCACACTGAACAATCGCAAACAATCACTACACGCTCAAAGCAAAACACGCTATTTTGCTGCGCCAGTTTTTTTTGATTTGATTTCAGTGGCACACATTTTCATGGCAAGAAAAACAAGTATACAATGAATTCCGTGTGTGCTATCTGCTTCTCCCTCCCAGATCGCACTGGTTGAAACACACATGGGCCGGGACCAACGGCTTAACTTCCCTTCCGAAGGAAGACGTGACCAGAAATTTTTTATGCCTCAGAAAAATCCCACCGACCTCGGCTGGGATTGAACCCAGACCCATTGGGATGAGAAAGCAGTCACGCTTACCACTACACCACCGGCGCCGGCAAATGCACAATCGTAAAACGTAAATTCAGAGTACCTCGGTTTTTACGACTGAGTGGTAAGACATCATATCAAGAAGACTGGCAGCTTTGCCAGGATCCAAGTGACAGATACAGTCCCCCTTATTCTGCGAGTCACGTGACTCTCTCTCACCGGTGAGGTGACAATTGTCACCTCGTGTGAGGTGACTCTCCATGCAAATCAAATGGAGAGTCACCTCACACGAGGTGACTATTGTCACCTCACCGGTGAGAGAGAGTCACGTGACTCGCAGAATAGGGGGGAGTATCGCCGTACTTGAGTGAAGGTGGAAGCAACGCATAGAAAAATGAGCAAATACACAAACCTTTCTTCTGAGGATGTAATCTTTGCTATCAAATTCGTTCGAAGCATTTATCTTTGAGCGGCAGATGACGCAAGTGTACCTGTATCATAGCGATCGTACGAGAAAATGGAAGTGTTGCCAGTCTTCTTGATATGTTGTCTTCGGTAAAAGTGACTCTCACTGAACCAGTTTGAAGTATAGTTATTAGTCATTAGTATAGTATATTCAAGAGCAAATTTTCATTACGTCGAATGTAACAAAGGTAAACAAAGTCGAGCTATCAGTGTCAATCGATTCTCCTGCTATTACACTATATACTGTCCGAATATAGGATCAAATCCCATTTTTAAATTTATTTGTCAGTCAAATTGCTTTTTGACGTAATCACCTTCCGATCAAAATAGTTTTCGATGTTACTTAAGTCACCCAATTTCTATGGAGATGCCGTTTGACTTAAGTAACAGCGCTGAGAAACCGAAAAGTGTACGTTCGTCGTTTCGCTTTCTCATTATTAAAGTGAATAAATCGAACTGTTTGTTGCGAAGATGATTTCGGTAGTCCTAAAATGATGAATGGGCTGCACGTAAGGAGACGTAATTGATAATTCTCCCGAATATCCTGGTAAATACACTTTGACTTAAGTAACAATAGGGGCCACCAAACGACGTATAATAACTTTTGACTCAAAAACCAGTATTTTTTAGCATGAAAGCTAGCGATTTGCATTTGTATGATTAAAAGCCTGCTAAATATGTTAAACATTGCTATCACTATGAAATTATATGTGTTTACTTGGAAATAGGAATAACTTTTCGGTCATCAAAACAAAACTTTATTTTTCTCGGATTGGTGTGTTACTTACGACATAATGAAAATTTGCTCTTGATATAACGACTACAGTTTCAAGGGCCTTCCGTATGTTTCTTACTAAAAGGGTGTTTCTTTTTTTTGTATTTTTTTTTAGCTTACATATCTTTTTATTCGTCAGTTAGTATCAAAATTATGATGCGTTCCATAAAAAGGTAGTCTTTTGCATTTGAATTCGTTTTTTTCTTCTCAGTTTTACTGATACTATGTTATTTATGCTGATGTTTTATGCAGTCCGCTGTTTATTTTGTTTTTGTTATTTTCAAAAAGTGTGTATGTTATGAGTTTATCGTGGTAACATGCTAATGTATAAGCAAGCTTGCAAATGCTCATTACAGCTAAAATGCTAATTTTCGGATTTATGAATCTATGAAATATTTTAATGGTAATTCTTATAGACAAGATGCAAGAAGAGAAGGTAAAGTATTTGTATGATACATAAAACATGTTAATTTAGCTTTCAGAGGGTCACAATAGCGATTAGCTGTAACGATGAGCAACGTGATGAGCGAGCAATCAGAGATCATAAAATCGCTAGTTGTGATCTTCTGAAAGCAAAATTGATAAATTGTGTTACTGCCGCTATTCGCATGTCCGTCCCATAGCGAAAATCAGCAAGCCGAGAAAATCGCGTTTTAAGTTAGCTTCGTACCATTGCTTCTTATGTGATGGGACAACTAATTTGACTGTCTTCTCAAACTTTTTCAGAACAAAGTTGTTGAGTTCATCCAGTATTGTGAAAATATGAGTGATTATCTACCATTTGCATTGAAAAACTCAGTTTTGACAAAAACAACTATGGGACCGACATGCGAAGAGCGGCAGTGTATGACATACACAAACTTTACCACCCATTCTTGCTTCTTACAAATAACAATCAGAGATCATAAAATCGCTAGTTGTGACCTTCTGAAAGCAAAATTAATAACTTGTGTATGTCATACACAAACTTTACCACCCATTCTTGCTTCTTACAAATAAAAATTATCATTATAGTATCTCATAGTTTCATAATTCCAAAAATTAGCATTTTAGTTGTAATGAGCAATTGCAAGCCTGTAAGTATGGAAGCAAATAATTTAATACAACGCAATAAATGAGAGGGATATAATACTGCTGTTTGACCAATTGCAGTTTGCAGTGAATCAATGTTTATTATTACTTCCTTTAGTTTTACCAACTTATAAACGGTTTTTGAAATGCACTAATATCTTCAATCATATAATATTTATCTGAATATTTACTTATTTACTTCAATATTTATTGGTTTTTATTTTACACATAATCAACCTTGTAGTAAAAGTTTGAGAAGTTCATCAAGTTCATGGATGAGCAAAGTTAGGAAAGGATAATTTTTCGCGAACTTTCCAATATTGACATGGAATTGAACTCTTCGACTAAAAACACATCAATCAATGTGAATAAGAAAACAAGTGTGTGATCCACACCAACAACGCTAGATCATGAAGTTGTGTTAGATGTATAAATATTTGTAAAATTATTCGATAGTGTTTCATCAATAGGATTAAGTCCTGCAATGGACGTTCATTTAGTAGTATTACTTTGTTGTAAAATGAAATGGTGTTTTGTTGATTTCGGCTACATTGGAAATATTTATGATTTTTTCTCTTCCTCAATTGTTTCTTTGGTTGGTAACGGATTTTTCTCGCACGTCTCAGTATGCTTTAATTTGGAAGTGTCGAACGATTCGATGCCTTTGATGAAATTATTCTGGCCCTTTTCCTGTTGAATGGCTGCAAAAATAAAAATAAATCATAATAATGGTACTTTTTGATGACACAACTCACAATGCACCAATTTACCTTCCTTATCAGGCAAGGGGTTTTTTTCACATGTTTCAGCATGTTTCAACTTGGTTGCATCAAAAGTTTCAATGCCAACAAATAGGCTTTTTTGAGTTTTCTCGGTCTGGACGTCTGGAAGAATGTGATAAAAAAAAATGGTTATTGCAATTTCGTTGACAGCAGCTATATACCCTCCCTCCAAATAGGAATCAGATAAACTAGTCAGTTGAGGTATGGTTACCAAGCCAGAATCGACGTGTTCGATTGTCAATTCGGTCTAGAAAATCTTTAACCACAACTTCATGCATTAGATGGAATAGAAAGCTCTCAATTAATAACTTTGGACGTGCTTGAAGAACACTATGTTGAGAGCAGGGGAAAAGTCTGAGAAGTGTTGAAATCCAGGAAGAAGAAAAAGCTAAATGCATAATTATAAAAATGGATCAAACAGTAAAACAATTTGTTACCTTCGGCAGTTGGAAGAACGATTTTTTCTTGGGTGTCCGCCTTGGAAAGATTTTCGGTATTAAAGCTCTCCAATTGTGTTTTCAGATCAGCACCGACTTTTTTGTAGTCTTTCAACGAAGTTGCAGTGGCTGTTTCCATTATAATAAGTGTATTTAGTGGAACGATCCTGAAAAAAAATATGTTCGGTAAAATGGTGTTTTTAGAGGTTTAGGTACAATAAAAATCTGATTTCTGTAGCGGTGGTAGAGAAGTTGAAATATATGTATAAAACTAAAAGTCAGATTTTTTATATTAATATGTCTATCGAGAAGCCTTGAGTTTTCAACTAACGTAGCAATATCCAGATTATTTTTTTAAATAATTTGTTCGCACTCGTTTACCTCAACTTGGAAAATTTTGAAATCATCATCACTTTTATAGTACTTCAATTATCCAGAGAATAGAATAACTATGAAAGTGATGATGATTTCGGATTTTTGAACGGTGAGGTATTAGGAGTGAAATCTTAACATGTTTTTTATTTATTTTGTGAATAGAGTATTTTCTTTAAATCTGGCTATAAATCAACCTGAAAGGCCTGATGTTCAAACTGCAGTTGAGCAAATATATTATTTTGACAATACTGTTGGGCACAGCCAACAGACACGAACGAACACGATTTTTCTTGTTGGCTCACTGCCAACGAGATCGACGGACAGACTGATTGTTGGCCACTGCCAACGATGAACACGAACTATGCTTCGTTGGCCCACTGCCAACGACAAGCGATGGAACGGATTGCTGCTCCCGGAACGGAGTGGGCACTAGTTCTGCTGGTGAAGCCACTTACCACACGATATCGGAAGTTCTGAAAAGAACTCCGATGAAATAAACTCTTTTGGAAAAGTGATAATGTGGAAACACGCAGCAGCCAACTAGTAGGACTATGTCAGAGCAGGACGCTGACGAACGGATCTTCAAACAGCAAGCAGACGAAACCAATCAACAGCAGGAGCAAGCAAACTGGAAGACGTTTCTTCTTTGAAATAATACTGCGAAACCTTTTTACTTGTTGGGTTGATTTATTCTCCAGGATACAAGAAAGACTGACAAAATTTTTGGTGCGTACTCTACTTTTAAACATTTTAATATTTCATCAGCCACTGCTGATTGGCTGTTACTGCGCAACGCAAAAAGGATAGAAAAGTGTACTATAAAATACAATCTTGATTGTGATTGGTTGTTGTCATGTTAGTAGTGAGGCCGTTTTCCCGCGGCTATCTCGGGGTTAGAAAAAAAAAGGATGAGGAGGAAGGAAGGGAGATTTTTTCTGCTGCTGATGCATTGACGGTCGGTAAACTCAGGACGTTTACAGTGCCAGCGGCGGTGCAGGGTCGTGTCGAAACTTATTCGCTGTTGCGAACAAATACAGTCCACTCTTTCGCTTAGCTGGCGATTCCAATTTTTAACGATGAAAGCGCATCTGTGGCCAGAAAGGTTACCAATGTATTTAAGCTCCCCTCGATGGAAAATTGTTTATGACCTAGGGGAAAAGTTGGCTTCGGCAATACCTTAACCTATTATCGTCAGGAGGGTAAACAAAGTCCTAGAGCACTCAAATTTGGCCAATAGTTACTCTGAAACACAATGTATCCACATGCCAAAATTGAGCTCTCAAGGACGTTGTTTACGATAATAGGTTAAGATATTGTCGAAGCCAACTTTTCCCCTATCTCAATGCTAGATGGTGCGTGAAACAATATTTTTCAGATATCAGATTTCATGAGCAAATGTGCTAGACTCCGCACTTATTATTTAAAATCCGCACACACAAAATTCATTCTCAAAATTCGAGTTTTTTTATCCGATTATCACCAAATTTTTAGGGAGTAAAAAGAAACAAGTTAGTTAGTTTGGCATAATTCATTTAATTTATTTTGCTTTATATTCGAATGGATGTGCGCCTTAAGCCCTGCCATAAGTTTCTGCACGACCTCAGAATCGACAGTTTTTTGTTATTGTTATTGCTCAGTTCACACCCTGGCAGGCTACTGCATACCGATCTGCACTTAAGCCAGGCATGAACCTACGGAAATTTAGTCGTGGCCTATGCTAGACCGTATAGCATAACGACTTTCCTTTCCCTAGCAGGCTTTTTGGTCCCACTAGCGTCCGATTAGGGGATAGTAAGAAATTAAAAGAATAAAGAAGAGAGATAGAGGATTTTGTTGTTTTGCTGAAAAAAAAGAAGAAAAAAAAAGAAAAAAAAAACACGTTGGCTTGTTGTGCAACATCAGGTTTGTTCGCTTTCATTCCGTTCCAAGGGGCTACGTCCATCGTCGTCGTACTCAAATACCTGGGAACATCCAGAGGTGCACAGGGCCAACGTGAAAGACTTTTATTCTGGGCAGCTGCTTGACCTGGGCCCAAGTCAAATTCCTATTGGCTTGCTTAATTTACTTGTTGACGCTCCGCCGCCTTAGTATTTGCCTTTGCTGCGATGTTCTGGCGGATTTAATTCATAATCAAACGCTTGCCTGCAGACTTCGTTTCTATTGCTATCGGCTTCTGATGACATTTACATCTAAGATCTATTTGTGAGGCCACCAGCCACAAGTTATATACCGCAGGCAGCGGTTGATGAGACCTGCAGCTTTTGAGTGTTCTCCACTGGTGCTGCACAGATTCCACGTTTTAATCGAAGTTTCGAATTTTGGTACGTTGACCAATCTGATTTGATCTCCGCTGTTGTGTAAATGTCATATTATCACCGACCTTATTACCATCACCTTAGTGTGTGACATCAGGTGTACGCTCCTCTGTGTTTTCGTTACCAATGCAGTTAATTTGACACGTTTGTTGCATTCCCGTATGTCTCAATATTATTCTTGCTGAACCACCGTCAATTCCACTATCCAGAGGCAGCGAGCCACGTTAACACCTGAAATTATACAAAAACAAATCAAACATTAGCACCAACCCCCCCCCCCCCCCTCCTCGATTGCAACAGCTCCAAGCCATGCATCAGCTACTCGCAATTGATTGTGATATAGTGGGCGGAATATTACAATGTGAGACAATTCAATGCAGACGTCTTCCAAATTTGGCCGATCGTCAGGTAATCAGTGGTTTACCACCTGGCACCTCTTAGCAAGCACTATGCTACGAAGCGGACCGGAAGTATCAATGAACAACCTCCCCCGACCTCAGAATCGACAGTTTTTTGCATAATTATTCTTGCTTTTTTCATTTCTTCTACATTCTTCACCACTTTAGGTCGTTTTAGAAGGTGCTCCTTCATAATGGCCCAGTATTTTTCTATTGGGCGCTGAGTGTTTGGGAGGTTCAGATTTGTCGGCACTAAATCGACATCATTCGACTTATACCACTCTAGCACGTCCTTCGTGTAGTGGTATGATGCCAAATCCGGCCAGAAATCGTCGGACCGTCGTGAGCCTTCAGAAGAGGGAGAAGCCGCTTTTGGAGGACACTCTTCCAAATACACTTGTCCATTAATGGTGCTTGCGGTAACGAAAGGTGTACTCCCCTTTCCGCAAGTACAGATCGCTTGTCAAATTAAGAACTTCCAGGCGAACTTCGACATCTTCTGTGTCCGGAGGATCTCGGGAACATCACACTTATCCTTGACAGTCACATACAGGTTTCCTAGAATCTAGTTGAAGGCCTTCACATATGTCTCGTCATCCATTACGCAGCAGTGTGGTTTCGTTAACTTCTGGTCGTACAACTTCCGGGCACGGCTTTTTGCGAACGTATTCTGCTTTCCGTCACGGTTTGGGGACTTCTGAATCTTAAACGTACGTAGTCCAGCTCGAGTTTTGGTATTCTGCACGAAAGTCTTGCTCACATGCAACTTTTTAGCGACATCTCGAACTGATGCGTTCGGTTTCCGTTTAAGGGCCTCAGCCACGCGTTTGTGATCGTGGAATCGTGGAAGACACCGTGGAATTCGCGATTCCCAACTTCAACTCACAGAGTGTAAACAATGTACATTAAATAAGTTAGAGCAATTTGAGTGTGTGTGTGGATTTTAAACGGTAGACTTTTTAATGATTCACTTTTTCTTTAAATTTTTTGCATGCTTCTTGATATGCCGTCTGAGAAACCGAAATTTTTATCAGTGCGAACCTCAACCTGAGGTAGGTTTTAATAACTGATCAAACTGACGTTCGTTAGAAAACAAGAAGACCAGATCTTGATACCCGATCCAGGTTGGAACTGAATAATAAATAAATTCGCTATTAGTTGAGACATATTTCGAATTTTATGTAAAACTCGTTTTGAACAATTTTCGCAATGAGCTTAGCTTAATTTTAGAGGTACAGACTGTAAGAATCCATTATAAAGGGGTTAATATTGTATCGAATTAATTTAAGAGTGAATGTAAGCTGCCAGTTTTGATCTCACAATTACTGATAGCATTTTCCGGTTTTGTACATAAAAAATAAATCGCCGTACCTTTTTTTACCAGCATCTGTTGCTAAAATCAACTATGCTAGTAATCCATTGCGGCTTAAATCCACCAGTATGGGTGATGATCCTCTGGAGAAGTTAATGCTTTTATTTGGCATGGTATAGCCGATTAAAAATAATTGATTTTCCGGTTCGTAAATCGATTCGATTAAAATTTGGACACCACTAGATGAATGTGCATCGTAATTTTGACATCCACCGCTAATGTCAAATATAAGGTCCGCTAATGAGACAATTTGAAAGGGACCGGGGCTAATCACAAATGACGTCCCCACGGTTACCTGAAAAAAAAACACGAGTGCTGACGGTTGGCATTACATCTGATGTCAGTCCGGATAAAAATAACCATACAATTATCATAAAATAAAATACAGTCAAATCAAAATCTATTGTCAATAATCGATCTTATTGTACGTATTGTGCAAATAATTTTAACATACACTGGAGTCGCTTTTTACGTGGTTTTTTATGCAGATTTTGGAATTTACGCGGATTTTTTTTTACGTGGATTTCTGAATTTACGCGGTTTTTTTACGCGGATTTTGGAATTTACGCGATTTATCATTCTACACTGGAGTCGCTTTTTACGCGGGGGATACGTGTCGCGTGAAAAAAAAAACCGCATAAAAAACCACGTAAATTCCGAAATTCGCGTAAAAAAAACGTGTACATTCCGAAATCCGTGTAAAAAAACCGCGTACGG